ACCCCCGCCCCCTAACGGGGATTGGGTTTCCTTGACCCCGAAAAATCCCTGACAAGCTTGTTCACAACACGCACACAGACCTGTTTACAACACAAACAAATTTGTTCAACAAAAAAAAAAAAAAAATAATAATAATCTGTATATGGAATCAACAACAACATCATCAATAATAAATCATCAACAACAACAACAACAACAACATCATTTTCATCAACAACATCATCAACGGCCAAAAAAAGATGTGGAGACAGACAGATTACACAAATAGATGGTGGCGGAGGGAGGAGGAGGCGAGAGGGAGGATCTGCTCAGATCTGAGTGGTGGAGGGAGGATTTGTTCAGATCTGCCCTGGCGGAGGGAGGAGGAGGCGAGAGGCGACGGTTCGGCGGTGGCCTGGAGGAGCAGGAAGCAACGGAGGAGGAGGAGGCGGTGCGAGGCGACAGAGGAGGAGGAGGAGGCGGTGAGCAGGAGCGACGACGTCATCGCCGACTGCGGAGAGAAGAGACAGAGTGCGAGAAGAGAGAGAGTGAGTGAGTGAGGCAGAGACAAATCAGAGGAGTAATTAACAAAGGAGGGTTATATATATAGGAATGAATGGAGGGGCATTATGGTAATTTCATTTTGGGGAGAAACAGGGCCGGGTCCGGGGCTGTGAAAGTAATCTCCGTCCCCAGCCCGAAACGAATCGGGGATTCAATTTCAAATATCATCCCCGGCCCGTCGGGGGTGTTTTTCAGAGAAAAATCACTTTTATCAGGGACGGGGGGTCGGGTCTCCGTTGGGCCGGGTTCAAATTTCCATCCCTATTCATCAATTTCCCGATGACCTGAATAATATTTTGACACATGCTGAGGTTCAGGATTGGGAGGTGGATCAGTTAGTAGAACTGTTGGGTTTCTTATACGGTTTACAAGTTGGGGGTGCAAGGGAGGATTCTATGGTTTGGGTTTGTCCAGGCTCTAAGGGGCTTTTTTCTGTGTCTTTGTACTATGGTGCGCTTGTTCATGTTGATGCAGTTTTGTTTCCTTGAAAATGTGTTTGGGCGTCGGGCACACCAAGGTAGCGTTCTTTGTGGACGGCGACCTTAGGATGTATTCTGACGATTGATAATCTGATTGACCGTGGGCATATACAGGTGAATTGGTGTTGTTTGTGTTGTAGTGATACTGAGTCGGTGGACCATTTGCTCGTTCGTTGCCTAGTTACATCTCAGCTTTAGATGCTTATTGTAGTAATTTTTGGTTTGGTCTGGGCGTAACCAGGTTCGGTGTTGACTGTCTTGCAAAGTTGGGCTGGGGATAGGGTTGAGAGGAGACCTCGAAAGGCGTGGATGATTGCTTTTTACTGTTTAATGTGACTTATTTGGTTGGAGTGTAACATGCGTGTCTTTTGGTTGGAGAGGTTGCTGTTTATGGTGTTATTGTGAGAATATTCAGATTATAGAAATATATATTTTAGGTTGATTGTATCTTTTAGATTGATTGTGTGTGCATATTAGATTGATTGTATAGGGTTATTTCCTATTTTAGATTAGGTTTAGGATTGCAATATATACCAGTTGTACTCTTTGTACTTTACACATTGAATATACGAGTTAATTCTCTTTAGAAAACTTACAGTTATATAATTGGGTTACAGGATTGGTTGATCCAGATGTTTTAGCATATGTAGATTTTGTGGAGGATTTGATAGCTTAGTATTTTTCTCCTTGGGGGTTTGAATTTTTTATTCTTTGCATCATCTTGATGTTTTTTTAATAAATTTACTTATTATCAAATATATATATATATATATTTTGACACATCGTCACATTTTATACTTGCTAAAGTTGAAAATGTATTTAAAATGGTTACCTAATCAAGCTGCAAAAATTGATAATGTATTTAAATGGTCACCTAATTGGGCACCAAAAGTTGATAGTGAACGCTAATTAGGCTGCAACAACTTTCTCTCCATAATCCTCTATAGCACGAATATTGAAAGCTATAAAACTCATACACACATATGGGACACTCTCCTAATGGGACACGATTTTTCTCTTTCCATCTAGGAATATACTTGCCTAGCAAGGGGGACACTCTTCTAATTGGAGTGGATTCAACCTCTCAGGTATCCTTTCCTTAGCCAACTTAGGTAGTTCCCTATTTCACCATGATTACATAATTTAGAAATCATATGTTGACCAAGCATTACCCTCTACCCTTATCTCGACGGTTTATGTCGCACCACAAGGCACCTCTACCTGAGGTCATGCCTGTAAGTTTTTTGCATATTCAGTTGTATCATAATACAAATGATACATCTAATTATATAGTACTCCTAACCCTAATATTAAAAAAAAAATAAAAATATTCTCTCATAATCTCTTAGAATATATACACAATACACCATCATATATACATATATACACAATATTCTCACACCCCCACTCAAACTCAAGGTGTATTGTAGCAGAAAATACTGAGAGTTTGCCAAGAAGAAATTGAAACTGTGCAGTGGTGTGAGTCTTGGAAAAGAAGTCAGCAAGTTGCAGAGGCGAAGAGATGAAAGGAATTGAGATAGAGCCAGACTGCAAATGCTGACAGAGAAAGTGGCAATTAATCTCAATGTGCTTGGTCCACTTATGGAAGATAGTGTTATGTACAATCTGAATAGTACTGTGGTTGTCACAATTAAGGGAGATCGGAGAAGACTGAGGGACGCCTAAGTCAGAGAGAAGATAACGAAGCCAGACAACTTCAACAGTAGCATGAGTCATAGCATGGTATTCAACTTCGGCAGTAGATCGGGTAACAACAGTTTGTTTCTTGCTTTTCCAAGAGATCAAGGAATCGCCAAGAAACATACAAAAATCAGAAGTGGACTTACAATCAATAACATCACCAGCCCAGTTAGCATCAGCGTAGGCCACTAACTCCAAGGGAGAAGTTGAAGATAACAGGAAGCCTTAGAAGATAATATTGTGAAGATTGCGAAGAAAGCAAAGAATCCGAACCAAAGCAACCCAATGTGTAGAGCAAGGAGTAGAAACAAACTGGTTAACCACATGAACAACATAGGTAAAATCTGGGTGAGTAACCGTCAGATATTAACCACATGAACAACATAGGTAAGATCAGAGCGAGTAACCGTCAGATAGACTAAGCAACCCATAGACTCGCAATATAAAGTGGGATCATTTAGAGGGATACCATAAGTAGTGCTGGGCTTCACATTAAGCTTAATAGGGGTATCATAAATCTTAGTGTCAGTAAGACTGGCACGGTGAATAATCTCATTCGCATACTTGGTCTGAGACAGAAAGTAGCCCTTGGGAGGAGAAGTCACCTCAATATCAAGAAAATACCGCAAGGGTCCTAAATCCTTCATTTCGAAAGTGCGAAAAAAATGCTGTTTGATCTCAGAGATAGTGGAAGAGTCAGAGCCAGTGCTGATCATATCATCCACAATAGTAATAAAGCAACAAAACTAGCAGAGGTGTGGAGGAGAAACAAGGCAGAGTCGTGGGCACAAGGATGGAACCTAAGCTCAATAATAGTTGTCTGAAAACGATCATACCAAGCACGAGGAGATTGTTTCAAACCATACAGAGCACACCGAAGACGATAAACCTGTGGAATAATGAAGGCTAGGGGAAGGACGCATGTATACCTCTTTAGCGAGATGGCCATTAAGAAAAGCATTCTTAACATCCATCTGATAAAGAGGCCAATGACGAACAGCAGTAATAGAAATCAAAGTACGAACAGTAGTCATCTTGGCAACAGGTACAAAGGTCTCTTCATAATTAATACCATACTCCTGTAAGAAACCTTTGGCAACAAGGCGAGCTTTGTAGCCGTT